CTGTCACCGTCACCGTCGTGCTCCATCGGGGTGGTGGATGCTGCTATGACGGCCGGGTCCAGCACTGTCGAGGATCCCTGGCGCGCGGAGGTGTACAGCCGCTTGTCCGCGGGCCGGCGGAATGCGCTCTGGGTAGGCGGGGCACGTGGGGACACTGATTCACTGTTTGTGGCGGATGTCGGCCTTGGTTCGGAGCCACGCACGACGTTCGGTGACGTGTCGCCAACGTGGTTGGTGGTGGTGGTCTCATGCGAGGGGTCCGGAGCGGAGGAAGACATCATGGTAAACGCTGCGGTGGCATTATGGGGGAGGGTGGGCGAGAAATTGGTCAGGCCGGAGAGGTAAGGCGGATCCGTGAATTCTAAATCCGAAGCGGAATAGTTGAAGTCGAAGACATTTGTTCGGTTGGACGTATTCTCGCTAGTAGCCGGTATGTTGGCGGTGTTGTATGCTGCTTGCGACGCCTGGAAGTTGCTTGAGGCCAGGGCATCTTGTGTAATAAAGCTGTGGGTTGGTGGATTGGCCCCACTCCATGAATTGTCAGACAGCCCGTTGTATGCTGCGGGGCACGACAGCAGCTGATCTGACAAAGCCTGGGTCTGTGGTTGTGCAGCTTGCTCTACTCGGTATTGGTTCCTTCTGCCTGAAAGCTGTTAGTTGGCCCCTGGAACATGAAGGTTCGGGGTGAGCTGCTGACTACGATATTTGCGCTGGGCATTTCGGTTCTGAAGTCTGCGGCGTTCCACAGCTTCGGTAGGGAAGGTCTCGTTGTCGTCCATGGCTGTTGAATGCCTTTGGTAATCACAAGTAAGATGCCTTTAGTGTGCCACAGCTATCGTCGCAGTAGTAGCTCGCACAGGATTGTATACTCACAACCTGCACAGCTAGAGCACACAAGTGGCGTACATTAAGTGTTGGGATATCTCACATTGAATGAAGGCCTAATTTGGTTGCATCATCGCGGAACGGTCCGGGCGACCCGAATTTTGCGGGCAAGTCCCGCTTTAGATATTTAGATAGGCCTTATTCTGGTAGACCCAGCCTGGTTTCGAAAACTTCTACACTTTAAGAACTACACAGCTACTGTTCATAATTGCTTTCTCTTTATTAGAACAACCTAAACATTGAACTAATTAAGATCAACTAATTTGGTAAAAACTGTAAAGTCATAACATATGAGACTAAGTTATTCATGTAAAATCGTGAGGAATGCCAAGCCCTCTCACATAGCTTTTCTCAGTACAAGGCAGGTGTAAGGTGAGCTATGGATGGGCCTAAATAACAAGACGAAGCGTGAGGAAGAGAACAGAAGTGAGAAAGGCAACGCTCTACATATGAGACCGTACCCCTATCCTGTCATGGCCAGAGGAAGTCAGCTGTGGGTACCTGTGGTCATTAAAGGCTAGGATGGCGGCGGGGAGCTAGGTCCGAGGTCGACGGCGCGGCGGCTCTGAGATGTTTCGGACGATAGTCTTGGCATGGCGGCGATAGGGTTCGTAACAGCAGGTCTGTCAAGAGCTGCAGTCTGTTAATTACGTGCGCATTACCATTTACGAAGGTTATGATGTAATGTATGCGCTCATTATGATGTCACTACTAATATATATTAGTTGAGCCTTTATCTACTATGGCTACTGGGGTAAATATTGTACCAGAAGATCCTAAGAAGGATACTAAGAAGCCTACACTAACAGCGAACGTTATAACAGGCAAAAGGAAGCGAAATGACGCCCCTTAAGGTGGACGCTCTAAGCAACAGAGAACGATGTCAAATTACTCTAAATGTAGCAAAACGCATGCTCTGAAGAAGGGCCAAGTCTGTTAGTACAAGCACCCAGAGAAGGCGCCAGAGGGATGGCAGAAGAAGCACCCTCACCTCCTTAACAAATGATAATCTACAGACAAAATAGAGAAGCTAATAGAGAACCCTTAAGCAGAGGGAGCTGACAAATCAGAAGGAGTTAACTATATAAGCTATATGGTTAACAGCTCTGAGCTCTCTTTAGCAGAAAATTAATAGATACTTAATAGTAAAGCAACGCACTATTTTACGCCTTATAAGGAGCTTCTAGCATGCTTTTCGCATGCTCTTATAATAGTATCCTCAGCAAATTCATCTAGTAAATCTATAAGTAGTAGCAAAATTAACCTATCTCTTAATAGTATAAATTTCGCGCTTAAGGATGTTATTTACGTACCCTTTATTAAGGTCAATATTCTGTCTACTAATAAACTCTTAAGAGATCATAAGGGCTCGTATATAAATGCTGCAAGGCACTACTTATATAAGTAAGGAGCTCTGCTAGCACGCGCAGATGACTCAAACAGCCTACTAATCATCTTTACAAGAGAAATGCCGCAGGTCTTTTACACAGAATCAAAATCTAAGCCTATTTCTATAGAATTAGCTCACAGACGACTTAGGCATATAAGCAAAGCCCTTATACACAAAATAATTAATTAAATAACTAGCATATCTATTAGAAAAGCCGACTATAAGGCTTGTGATAACTATAATGTAAGTCAAATAAAAGTAAGCCCTCTCCTAAAGCAGGCAACAAACAGGCGCTTAGAAACTCCGCTAGAAATAGTCTATTTAGATTTAATAGAGATGCCTATGCCCTCTCTTAATAATGAATTTCTATATCTCCTTATAATCACAGACAATTACTCTTAATATACGTGGTCCTATAGTCTCTATAAGAAGTCTATCAAAGCTATATAGCCTAAGTGGCTTGCCCTGATTAAGAAACAAATCTTAGGAGCTATACTTAAGAGGATCTGTACAGATAACAACGGAGAATTCATCAAGATGAACAATGCTTAGGAATACTACAGTATAAAGGTGTAATACTCTATAGCCTATACTTATAATTAAAACAGAGTGGCTAAACGCATAAATCAGGACATTCTAGTCTATATCTAAAGCGTTCTAGCAGAAACTAATCTGCTATATAAGTTATAGTACAAAATTACTATAGCAATAATCTATCTCTATATAATTCGGCCTTATAGACTCTTAAAAAAGACCCCTTACAAAATCCTGTATAACAGGAAGCCTTACCTCGCTTATCTGAGAGCCATTAGCTCTAGAACAATGATATTAATCCCTAAAGAGGTTAGAGAGCATAAGCTATAAAGCGTTACAATTATAAGGCAGCTTATAAGCTATAAAGAAACAAATTAATACTGAATTTGAGACCCTTAGATAGATAGAATTATCTAGGCAAGAGATATTAAAATCAATAAATCTGATACTAAATACGTTAAGGAACTGCATAAGGCATCCGAACAGCCTAAGGGAACTCCTATAGCATCTACAGATGCTCAAACAACTCCTATAGTATCTACAGAAGCCGAAATGGCTCAGGATATATATAGAAACAGAGATAATGAAACAAACACTAATAGATTAAGCTCTAAAACTACGGTTTTAAGACCTGAACCTAACAAGGATCCTTAGTATGCCTCTTATATAGATCAAAACCCTATATTTACAGATATCAACAACCTTATAGATAACTATGCTAGCGTTAAGAGCGAATCAAAGTCTTATAAAGCAAAGGATACAGAGTTTCAATCTGTAAATCTAAGGATAAATTAAGCAGGGATCTCTGAGCTGATATATCGTCTAAAAAGGCATTTAAGACCTTTACAGAAGCTCTGTAAGAATCAAATACCCCTTGACGAAATCCCCTTTATACACGTTTTATCAGCGTTGACACTGGCTCTGTCAGACACTCCTAAGTCGTATAAGGAGGCAAAACAATATACTGACCACTAAGAATAGATGGCTGCATCAGATAAGGAGCTACACGCTCTAGAAAGCAACGAAACATGGCAAGTTCTACCCAAAATTAAGGTACCTGCTAACCAGAAGATACTCTGTGG